TCACTCATTTTTTTTGGTTGATGATGGATGATGGGAAATTTTGCACCGGGTTTCCCCCCATGATCAATCTGATCAAGTGCTCAAAACCTATGGTTTTTCTCCGGTTTCTGAAGATTTTCTCAACTCAGCGGGTCCAAGTCCTCCGGATCCGGATCGCCTGGATGCATGGCACCACCCCAATGGACGCCACCGGCAGCTGCGCCACGGCGCCATCCGCGAAGCCCGCGATCACGGCGGAGGCGTGGCGGATGGTGGAGATACGAGTCCTGGCGACCAACAAATTCCTGGTCAAACGATGGCGAAAGCCATGGCTTTATCGGTGAAAATTTCTGGGTTTCAGATGGGTTTATGGATGTTTAATGATGTTTATCTCCATATATGGGTATATAATGTATGTGTATATATATATATGGGTTTATATCTGTGTAACATGGGCTTAATCATGAGTAAACCGGATTTGGAACAAGATGGGATAATGCATGGGATAATGCAGGGATTTCTGGCCATGTCAAGTGGGTTTCTCTGAAAATGTTGGGAAAAACCAAATGATATATCAATAGCCAATGGTGAATAGCAATCGAACTATGATAATTATATAAACACCCATGGCTTTTGGATACCTGAAAATGATGGGAACAGCCCAAGAACTAATGATTTCTCATAGTCTACCATGCGTAATATAAGTTTGCTTTGTCTGAAGAGGTTGGAAAAAACCTATTGAAACACAACTGGCATAATTCAATCCCATGGTTAATCATTATTATTAATATGTTTTTAGTTTGTATGAAAAAATATTGCCAAAACCAATTGATCATCATTTTTCAAGTGGGATATATCCCATTATTATATATCCATTTAATATATCCCATTGTCATTATCCAATATGTATCCCATTAAATCTGCTAATTTCAATGGCCATTTAATGGGGTATAGCCCAATTCTCAAACATTTACGCGACAGTGTCTTTGAGGAGAAACCTGATATACCTTTGATGGTTTCAAATAGGAGTAAAATATGCATATAATAGACTGCAATGGTATTTGTAGCCATGTAAATAAAGGTGCTATTTTTACACTCATATCTGGCCTTGTATGAAAGATCTTTAAGGAGAGAACTGGTGAGATTTCCATTGATTATGATTGGATAAGCTTACATATGGGGATATCTGGTGCAGATAATTTATCGATATTTACAGGATATTGCTGGCATATTATATAATAACGAGCCAATATTTCGTGGTAAACCCTTACCGTGGGAAATCTTATGGCGAGTTTATAGCCATTACAATTGGATGTTTGAATGGGATATGTGTTGGGATTTTTGTGGAAGGACTCAAGTGACTCAAGGGATCTGGCGGATGTCGAGTAACAGGAAATTTCGGTGTTGTAACAGTTTCAGGGGGAAAAAAAGGGATACCTTTTTGGAATCCCTATAGATGACATATAAAAAATCAGGATTCAACATGCTTTGACCATCCTAATGCGATGTGATGGCTGGCTATTGTGGGGATCAAAAAACATTCATGGCTGGCTATTCAATCATATAAACAAGCGACAAATCATGGTGTCTGACATGAGTGGTCAATCTCCAAATTGAGATTTCAGACTTGGGGCGACTTGGGGTATCCTATTTTCAACCAAACGCATGCGGAAATCCCTCAACACTAAACCTCCACCAAACGCTGGCTGGTAGAACCCATTTCGAGCAAAACTGGGGATGGGACATTCAGAATTGGGATTACCATGGCCTAACAATTAAGATTTTAATGGCCTAAGAATTGAGTGATTTCAATGTCAATGTCAAAAATTGCCCTGTGAATTCCAGTGACTTCAAGATGATTTCACAGAGAATTTTGGTAGTCTTTTGGGATGTTTTCTCCAAGGCGTCAGGTGATTTTGGTTGACTGGATACTTGCCTTAAAGAATTCCAGTATATAGCATAGGAAATTATAGGACAATACATGTGAATTACTGAGTCTGGGAATATCAGTGGAGTATATATATATATATATGATCATCCCACTCCATGTGTAGTCAGTCGCCAAACAAAACAGCTGTAGTTCACGAGCCCCCTTTTGTTGGTCACAATTGTCAATCATGTGGGTGGCCTAACAGCATCCAACAGCTAAGAACTGACATCCCTCCAAAAAACCGAAGGGCAGAAATGTGAAGAAATGTGAAGAATCCCTTCAAAACAAATCCCTGGGGGTTTTCGGTTTCCGGCTCGTCATGGGGGTACCCCTAATAGCTGGATGGTTGATTGAAAATGCAAAATCCCATCAGAAATGGATGATTTCATCCCACGTCCTCATCTCCGGTGAGGTTGGGTCACAAGACTCCTGGCTGAATCTCCAAGAAATCCGAAGGGCTGGGTATGACGTATGAATGAAATAGAAAGTATGATAATGATATTGTAATGGTATTGTATAATACCATCTACTACCATCTACTACCAAGTTTGTGGCGACAAGGATGAAAACAAAAGTCCTTGGAACCATTTGGAACCCCCTCCAGAAATGGTGGAAAATTCTGCAGCTTGGCTCCTCCGCCTCTTTGCGACTCTCTTCTTCCATCTGCGGCTGTTCCTGATTTAGAAAATTCGGAATCTGTCGGAAAGGATGCGCGGTTTCGCAAAAAACGTTGAAAGAAACCCGAAAATTGATGAACATAGATGCAAATGGATGAACGTGGATGAAAATAGATGATGACAAACATGGAAGATGGAAGCTACCCTGCAGGAATCTATCAACTCGCCAGGATATTTCAGATTACATCCTTATTGCATCACTCTCTAACATAAGGCTTCAGGACACTGACCCAACATGCCCAACAAGTCCCATCGAACCACCTGTGTAACCTCCTTTGCCAGCCATTTCGAAGCTCAAAACACATAGTTTAGCGGCACTCTTTGGATCACAAGGCCTTGAAAATCCAGCAAAATCAAATAATACCGTCATTCATAATTTAATAACTTTTAATGTATCTTATAAGTTCTTCGATTCCTATAGGTATTTATAGCACATCGGATATGAATTATAGATATATGATAGATTTCAGGTAGAACGCGTGTTTTGCCCCATTCCCAGAAACCTTCCATTTTTGCACGGCCGGCCTCTGTGAACAAGGGCGGTGGATGCCTCAACGCATCAAAACAAGGCATGATGGCGATATTTCTTGGGAAATGACGTTGCTGGCCACAACCATTTGTCTCACAAAAATCACTCATCTGAAAATAGCTGAGGTCATTTTGATGCATCCCAGATTTATGAACTTCTGATATGTTGACTGCTAATTGCTGATTCTTCATAGTATTGAATTCGCATGTCCCACCCAACCGCCGTTTCATTTGAATGAACCTGGGCCAACGTCATTCCATCTTCCACATGTCGTTAAAAACCCAGGTGTCCAAGCAACGCAAGACGAGCCACAGAATTGGGTCCGTCATGAGACATCTTTCAAACCACACATGTTGCAGGCAAAACAGTCCCATGATGAATGTTCTTCAGTGATTCATATTTCCATCAATTTTCGTCAATTGTATCATTCTCTTGAAACATCCACCCGTTTGCAGGGATCATTCATGATGCTTCCTGAACGCACGCGCCTTGAAATTCAACATGACACGTGAAAACCGCTATATCCAACAGGCAAAGACATCATCCAAACCAGTTTTCGGGTCCTCATCTTGATTTGTTTCCTTTTTTTGGTTAAGTTAGTCTCACTTTGGGTGGGAAAACCATGGAAAACCATCCTTTTTCTGCCAGTAAAATCAACACTTTCATCCTAAGGATCCGCACACATCTTGAACCTCGACCGTTCCAATCACCGGCGGAGTAGCCTCCGGTGTCGATGGGGGCCATGGCTAAAGGTAGGTGACACAAGGCCCTTGAAACATGAATTGAAATGGTCATGTTTGATACTGTGGATGGGCCAGCGAAATCCGAATCACCCGTTTTACTGGTGGTAAACATCCCATTATTTTCTAAGCTTTCTACATCTTTCTGCTATCCCAGGTGGTGCAGGATTTCTATGGATTTCTTCCATCCACAGTAGGTAAGTCATGTACAAACAAGGTCCTGCGCCTCAGACCTCGCCTGCAACAGTATCACCTTGGTCACCAGTCCAGCATGGTGGTGTGAAATCTCAGGATGGCGTCATGTCATTTACATGACTAATTAGCCTACCCTCTGGCTATGACTAACAGTTCGCCATGGTTTTTCGATAGCCCATAGAAATAGATGGTTTACCGAACTTACAAATGGTGATTTTCCATGGCTATGTTAAATAACCAGATGGTAAAATGTTCTGCGAAAATGTGGAAATCTTGCCCGGTCCAGCTTGCACTGAAGGTATCTTGGGAACAGACACAATGCAAGCTGTGACGTGCCAGCTATTCCAACCCCGCCGCCCCGACCCGGCACATCCCCTGCGCCAGGCAACAAAAAGTAGCAGAGATCTTGAGAGAACGGGCTCCTGCCACGAAAGAAACTCTCAGATCTGAGAGTGAACATTTGAGAACCAAACCTGTGGTCTGGCTTAGAATTGCGAAAGGCTACATTGCATCAACCACTTCTTTTTTGTCTTTTGCGAGCGAGTGGGCGGATGCAAAATGTCGACACATATTGGCTGGTTGGTGGTTTGATCCGGATCAGCCCCGGAGGGAATGGAAACAAAATCAATACGAGAAACCACCAACGAAACCACCAACGAAACCAGTTGAACTCGTGCTGGATGGCTTTGATTACTCATTGAGCCAAACATCTCTGCCATGTTTGCGACAAATCGCAGGCATTCGCAGGCCCAGAACTTGGGAATCTTCACATCGATGTGGAGGATTTTCAGCCATTTGGGTCATATCCCAAAATTTGGACTACCCGCTAAATGTATCTAAATGTATCCACCTGGCTTAACTTTAGAAAAATGATGATAAATCATGATAAACGATAAAAATCATTGGGTCTTGCGGTGTTTCCATCGTTTTTCAGCCCAAAAGCCACCGTGGGACTCCAATCCCCAGATCTGGGCAACAAGATCAACTGCTTGGGTCATCTCAGGATCTTAAGTGAGGCCCAACATCGCTTTGGCAGCTTTGGCAGCTTTGGACACCACCTCAACGGGGCCGTGAAACCACTGGAAGTGAATTGAGCAGGTGCTTACATCAAATTAAGCAATTACTTTACAAACATTTATGAACATCTATAAAGGAAGGATTATGAAACTGTAAAAGAAGCCAGGCCATATACGGTATACTGTATATAGATGAATCATCCAATCCATGGAAACCTGCAGTTGCCAGCCCAAGCCTATTCTTTTCGCCTCTGCCGAGTTGCCAGTTGTGACCAGTAGAGCTGCAAGATCCAGCCCAAACCAAACACAGCTGCGGCGATGACGGATTTGGTTACGCCCACATTCTGGGGAATCTCCGGCTCCATCCAGGCATGGTAGATGAAGTCCTTGCTGATCTTGCTGCAGATAAATGATGGGATGTCGTGCTAAGCTGAACTGATTAGTATTGATTATGATTGACTATGATTTGGTGGGATGTCATGGGTTAGAAATGGTTAGAAATAACCTCTTTGTGGATTCTTTTTAAAATGTGGCTCGTCAACATCTCCGGTCTCACGGCTGACCGAAGCCACGACGAGCATCCACCACGCAATAGCCAAACCAAAGGATGCGAATCGTCAGGAACGTCAAGGCCTTGGTGTAACTGAAAGCGAACGCCTTGGGCACCCGGGGAGGCTACAAGAATGGTTATTTCATTCCACTCTGCACAAAGATTCATGAACTTGAAGGAACTTGTAGGAACTCAACTAACCATCTTTCGCCATGTATTCAAAAGTATTTGTGGGTTTTGTCCACAAACCTGATGGATTCTGATGGATTCAGACCACAGCTTTGGAACTTCCTCTTGCCAAGGAACAAAAAAAGCGGCAGCCACATCAGAGAGGAGGGCGCAAAGCTTGCCGTCAATTTGACGGAACATCAAGTGCCTCAATTCTGGCAACTTCCACAAACACCGTTCGGGCTCACAGAGCCATAGCTGAGGCTGAGCCACATTTTGTGCGTGTGTGTGTGTGTACGGTGTATTGTGATTTACATTTATTTATATACCTTGAGTTCCGCAAGCAGCAGGCCAAACTTTTTTTAATATATCTACTACACCCTATTAGAACATATCCGAATATTTGTGTGACATATGTATCCCCCTGTAGAAATTGGTCCAACTGCCCCATCTGAAAAACTGGCGCTTCCAAATGCCACGGCGCGTGCTCAGGAAGATGCTCGAGACCTCCATGCACATGGCACTGCTGGCCAGTTTGGGATAGACTGCCAGGTTCAGGATCAAGACCCCGGCCAGAAAGAAGCCTCCAGGGAGGCTTCAACAGGGCTGAACCTCTCCATGGCCGGAAGTGGGCATGGTTCGTGTAGATGGTTCTAGATGGGCACTTGGTTCTAATGGGTGGGCCAAGTCTGAAATCTGATGAGATCGATTTCACTGAAAAGCTCAAGTGGTTGGCCAGGGTTGGGTGCACCGTTGCCCTGAATCTGGTGTCTTCGGGCACCACAAGTGCTTCACCATCCTCCCAGCTACCACATCAGCAAAAGAGCCTATGTGGTGAAGCAATGCGTCGATGCCGGTCTCCCACTTCAAGAACCAGAAAATGATCCTAGGTGCAGCGATGTTTTAGCCATGTCGCTGGGTCATCCAGAAAGTCCACAAAACACCAGGGGGCTCAACTCCGGGTTTCGCACCAGAAGCCTATAGCAACACCAATGCCTAACTTGGTTTATAACTTATAACTTATAACCACATCATACCCCATCTATACTCACACCCATCACCTAGACAAAGCCACAGTCCCAAAAACAGTATCCCAAGGTATCCCAAGGCGCTGGTACAGGACATTGCCGGTAAACATCTCCCCCAGTTGGCCGCAGAGCAGATCCTGCAAAACATCATTTTGCTTTGGCGGCTGCGGCACGAAGGCCGAAAACGCCACGGGGTAGCCTGGCGTGGCCAATGAAGGGTCTGGCCGGCAGCACATGCGGACTCGAAGAAAGGGGAGATCTTATAAGGCACCTGCAAAACATGATTTTACATACTATACAATACCAACTATGTATATAATGTATGTAATAGATTGTACTGGGACTGAGATCCGCCTTCAAAAAAGCAAATTACTTTACTTCGAGTGATCCCCACCATGACATTTCAAAACAGCTTGTTGACACCACTTTTGTCTGAAGCTTTTGTCACGGGACTTTTGCCCAACTAACTATCCCAATCATTTGTTTCACCTGGCAGGTCATTGTACAGGTCAGACTATCAAACAGGATATAAACATGTCAGTGGGCCATGTGAAGTAAACTCCAGAGCTCTCAACAGGTTTGTTTAAACATGACCAAACAAGCCAGTGGACCACCTGAGCCAAACAAACAAACATGCCCAAACATGTCAGCATGCCGCCTGTCAAACATGTTTGTACAAACATGACTGAACCAAGCCAGTGGACCCCTGAACCAAAGTCAAAGGCTCGCAAGCTCACGTCTAAACTCAACAAAACCATGCCAGTGTTACTTCATCAGATCGCTGCAGCTGCAACTCTCTATTTCTCCACCAGACGTCTTCAATCAAAACCGATTAGGTCCCACAGGTAGAGCAACGTGTCAGGCCTATGCCTCCCCCGGACCTCTTCAGTAAAAACCGATTAGGTCCCACTGGCAGAGCACTGTCAGGATGCTTGCAATGCATCATAGACAGGCCAGGACTGCAGCCGCTCCAGCGTCGAAGCAGCTTTGGCTTCCAACTTGTCAGTCAGTTCTCGCAAGTAGGTAGGAGGGCCTTTGCGTAAAAGCTCCTCCACTTGCTCCGTGAACCCCAGCAAGATGAGATTCTTCAGTTTGCGGGCACGCGTCAGCATGACATAGATGGCTAGCCACCAGTCCGCATCCTCTAGGCCACCACCACGACGCAAATCAACCAGCACACCTCCGTCCAAAGTCAAGCCTTGCGCGCTGTAAGCAGTGCGCAGCATGCCATGCAAAAGCGGAAACTGCCAGCGAATCACTTCAATTTTCTCCGTTTCCTCGCCTAGTTTCAAATCAATTTTGAACTCTGCATGCACCAATTCCACAAAGAACAATGTCTTTGCGTCAGTTGTGTGATCGGCCACATTCTGAAACTTTTCTTCCCACATCTGCAACAGAGCATCTTCCATGGGCGAATTCTTTCCTTTAAGTAATTTCACCCAGATACCTTTGGCCATGTAGTCCGGAAAAAAATGACAGAATCCAGGTTCACGACGGTCCAGGCGCTTCTGATCTTCATGGTGCAAATCCACTTTCACTACCACTGCCAGTTTGTCTTTAACCAATCCAAGGTGTGGAGCCAAGACATCCGCCAGTCGCACAACCATGTTCTCGTGCACCAGTAGCATGCCTTGCAATTTGCCAGTGCGATGCGGGTTTGGAACAGTGAGCAGCTGATGCGTCAGCTGCTTGTCTATGGTTTTATTTTTTCTGGAATGCCTTTGGTCAGCAGCTTGCAAACAAAATAACGGCACATCCAGGTCTTGCGCATCTCGATTTGCCCGTTCCACCATGCTGCGAGCAATGTTCTCCCAATACATGCCAATGACGTGACCATGCTTGAACAAGTCTGTGGTTAGTTCTTTCTTGCAATTTTCGATTTTGCGAGTGCGCAGCTGAGCCAAGTGATTCTCGGACAAGGGAGCAGCAGGCGTGCACGTGCGCATGGCTGTTGTGATTTCTGGCAGGTGAGCATCCAGAAACCGCTTCGACTTCTTCAAATGAATCACTGTATCAATGGTCATCAATGCCGCCTGGGCAGCATGGTGTTCTGTCTGCACTCTGTGCGGCATTTTGCGGATCAGCTCTTCGAGATTGTCAGCTAAGGAGATCTCGTTGGCAGGCTTGATCTGCAAAAAATCACCTGCAATCAGCAAAATTGGTATGTGTCCCATGAGCTCTCCTGGGTGGAAATAGCTGGCTGGATCAAGGCCTTCATCTTGACGGGCGCGCATGCTGCGGTAAAGCATCATGTTTTCCACTGCAGCTGGCACCAAACTGATTTCATCTTGAATGATTAAAATTTTCGGCTGCCAGCGTTGTTTCATCTCTTGCTCTTTTGTCTTCAAGGCCAAATGCTTGTTGCGCAAACTGGCTACACGATACGAGCAAGCAGTATGACATGTTCGCGCGCGCGATAGACATCATTGGAAATGGCATCCGATTGGGCATGGCTGAAGGTGGCAATCATGTATCGCTCTTCTTCTCCGGGCCTGGCTGGAAAAAAGTGACAAAAAACATCCAGCATGAGCTCCAAAATGATTGTCGTCTTGCCAGTGCCACCGGCGCCAATCAAAAGGCATGCGTGCTGCGCGCGTTTTCGCAAAGGTATTTTGTTCTCTTCTTCCTGTAAAGCGACATCCATTGCCTCACCAAACCATCTGCAAGCAGACAATTGCTCCGGCGCCAGCTTGAATCCAGCGGCAGACTTTTCAAACGCAGCAACCTTCCGCGCCATCGCTGCAGATGGCTTGCTAAAGGTGCGCCATTCTGCTTCTGGCATCGCGACATCACTGTTTGCAGCCAACTCTCCTGCGCGCTCTGCGCAGTCGCTCGTAGCAGCCCGGTCCGCCGACAAGCGGCTGAGGCCCATGCTATCATTTGTCATGGCAGCGCGCTGAGCATCCAGTAGCGGCTGCGTGATCATGGGCACTTTCTCTTTCAACCTCAGTTGTTCTGCTCGTGGATTCACTGCAGTGCCACTCGCGCGCTTGCAGGCCGCAGTTCTATGCAACGCTTCTTCATCCCCTGTCAAGGGCAAAAGGCCCACAGAAATCATGTCGCGCACAAACTTGGTTTGCTTTTGACGATGAAAGGTCATGGCTTGCGAACGCTGCGATGAAGTCAGTGGATGATGTACTTTTAAAGGTGCATCTCCAGCCTTGAGTCGAACCTCCCCATCGATGTCTGGATCCAAAGCATCTTCGAAAGCTGGTTCAAAGGATTCGCCAGTATCTCCAGTCCCGTGGCCTTCACGCACTAATCCTGGATCTTCTTTTGCATCTGCGTCCAAAGCATACGACTTGGTTTTGGGTGCTGCCTTAGCACGTCCGTAAGCATCTAAGTTCTTGACTACTCTTTTTGTCAAGTAGCAAACATACTCTTGGACAGTCAAACGGTTCTGCAACTTTGCACTCGCATCGCAACCCAGTTTGTTCGTGCAATCCTTGTCCAATGGAATCAAGTATTTCTCTTGAGCCAATTCTTTTTGCAACTGGAATACTTCCAAGCACTCCCACAAAGTAGGTATTTCCATCCGTGCTTCAATTTTTTTTTCAGCATCCGCAGCTTTGGGTAAAACAGTGTGCTGCCAGTAGTGTTTCCATGCTCTTGGAAAGGCATCATATGGATTTTCATGCTCTCCTCGTTTCATCTTTTTGGTTCCTTTCTCCACATCCAGAAAGATGGCCCTGTACGGGTCCTGCGGATTGCCTTTTTCATCCATGTCATTGCTTTGCCCCAAAGGCTTGAAGAGTAGCAACTTGATCAAACTCATCTTATGCGGATCGACACCTGGCGATGGAATATGCATACCTTCCAGCTGTGGGATCTTTGGAATTAAACTAAGACGCTGTGTCTTCACTAACGCAGATGGTTTGTAATCTGCATCGTAGTCGAAGGTAACCACATAGTCTCCCAAAGGATCTCGACTGGATTGCTTCCGTGCACCATAAACCCACATATTGTAGACATACGCTGGAAGTGCCTGCACACGCATTCACAAACAAAACATTATGATTTTATTTTAAGGTGTTTAGACTAAAACCACAAACAACAACGACACATTTTAATTACTTTCAAGACCCTGCCTGCATGATGGGATGCTCTCCACGGTGCATGTAGTCTTCGTGATTCGATGTGAACTGCACATGAATGTTGGAGTTGTGATCAAAGCTGTCGATCTGAACGGCCTTCATGTCAGCAGCCATGCGATTCCGCAGCTTGTCGTTTTGCGCATATTGCAAGGCTTGTTGCAGCGATGTGAACCGTTGCCCGCCCGGACTGATGTAGATGTAGGCATGGTCTTCCCCAGTTTCTTGTTCTACTTGTTCCATGGTCGCAGCAGCATTGGCAGACAGGCTTTTATCATGCGGCTTCGGTTGTATGAGCCAGCCCACTGGTAATTCTTTAGCTCTTCCACTTTGCAGCGACGGCAGTAAAAAGCCAATGCTTTGGGACACTGAAGCCTTTTCGTGTAAAGCTTTCAAACTACCTTTGAAATGGTCTTGCCAGGCTGATAGAGTTTTGGCATACGCCACCTTCAAATTAGTCTCCCAGCAGCGATGCGTAGCAAAGGACATATGATCGAACAACATGGGAAACACCAACTCCGAGCCACTTTTGACCTGCAGTGAATTCATCAAGTGCACCAATTTCTTCAACACCATCTTGACTCTCTCCTTGTTGCGTTGACGCGTCGTGAGTTTCTCGACGCTGCCGTCAGCTTCAGACGCATGAATTTTCTGTGCAATGCGTTGCAGACCCTGCATCAGCTTGTCACCTAGAGCGTGTACCTTGGTTGTATACTCATTGATGTAAAAACCTTGGTTGTGCGCATCTTGAAAGGCACCTTGAGTTTCTTGTTCCAACTCTTGCAGCAAGCTCTCCAACCAAGTCGAATCTGCACTCACTTCCAACGGTTCTGGCTTCTGTGGAGCCACAAGCCATTTCGGCTCCAGGTCACCTGTCGTTCGAGCCATCCAAGCCAGTTCAGGTTTGGCTCCGATGTTGGGTAGCCACTCCAAAGGCAGAGTGCTGGCAGGTGGCACATACACCAGCGATTGATTGTCGAAGTTGCAGCGCAGACTCACAGCAGCCACGTAGTTGGTCAGAGTTTCGAAGGGACACACCACAACAGGACAAATGCGGCCACGTTTCCCCTTCCCACTTTCTTCAATAATGTAAAGTTGATTATTGAGTGGTCTGCCATCCCTTCTCAACTTTATTGGCTTGTCTG